AACATCAAACTGAACGGAGAGAAACTTAAAGCAATCCCACTGAAATCAGGGACAAGACAAGGCTGCCCACTCTCTCCATATCGCTTCAACATAGTGCTGGAAGTCCTTGCTAGAGCAATATGACAGTTGAAGGAGATCAAGGGGATACAGATGGAAAAGGAAGAAGTCAAATTATCACTATTTGCAGATGATATGATAGTATACATGAGTGACCCCCAAAACTCTACCAGGGAACTCCTACAGCTGATAAACACCTTCAGCAAAGTGGCCGGATACAAAACTAACTGAAAAAAAATCAGTAGCACTCCCGTATACAAAAGACAAAATGGCTGAGAAAGAAATTAGGGAAACAACACCCTTCACAATAGCCACAAATGACATAAAGTACCTTGGTGTAACCCTAACCAAGCAAGTCAAAGACTTGTATGAAAAAATTTCAAGTCTCTGAAGAAAGAATTAGAAGAAGATATGAGAAGATGGAAAGATCTCCCATGCTCATGGCTTGGCAGGATTAACATAGTAAAAATGGCCATGTTACCAAAAGCAATCTACAGATTTAACGCAATTCCCATCAAATTACCAACGCAATTCTTTACAGACCTGGAAACAAAAATTCACAACTTCGTATGGAATAACAAGAAACCCAGAATTGCTAAACAATCCTCTACAATAAAAGATCTTCTGGAGGTATCTCCATCCCTGATCTCAAGCTGTACTATAGAGCAACAGTTATAAAAACTGCATGGTACTGGCATAGAAACAGAATGGTGGATCAATGGAACCGAACAGAAGACACAGAGATAAACCCACACACTTATGGACACCTGATCTTTGACAAAGATGCCAAAACCGTACAATGGAAAAAAGATAACATCTTCAACCAATGGTGCTGGTCCAACTGGATGTCTACATGTAGAAAAATGAAAATAGATCCATACTTATCACCCTGCACAAAACTGAAGTCCAAGTGGATCAAAGACCTCAACATTAAACCAGATACTCTAAATCGGCTAGAAAAAAAAGTGGGGAATACCCTAGAACTCATTGGTACAGGAGAAAACTTCCTGAACAGAACACCAACAGCACAGGCTCTAAGAGCAACAATAAATAAATGGGACCTCATGAAACTGAAAAGCTTCTGTAAAGCAAAGGACACCGTCATCAAAACAAAGCGACTGCCTACAGATTGGGAAAGAATCATCACCAACCCTTTATCTGACAGAGGACTCATATCTAGTATATATAAAGAACTAAAGAAGCTGAAACGCAGCAAACCAAGTAAGCCAATTAAAAAATGGGGAACAGAGCTAACAGAGAATTCTCTGTAGAGGAACATCGAATGGCAGAGAAGCATTTAAAGAAATGCTCAACCTCATTAGCTATTAGGGAAATGCAAATCAAAACAACCCTGAGATTTCACCTTACACCCATCAGAATGGCCAAAATAAAAAACTCAAGTGACAACACATGCTGGAGAGGTTGTGGAGAAAGGGGAACCCTCCTCCACTGCTGGTGGGAATGTAAACTTGTACAACCACTCTGGAAATCAATCTGGCACTTTCTCAGACAACTAGGAATAGCGCTTCCTCAAGATCCAGCCATACCACTCCTAGGCATATACCCAAAAGTGGCTCAAGTACACAAAAAGGACATTTGCTCAACCATGTTTGCAGCAGCTTTATTTGTAATAGCCAGAAGCTGAAAAAAACCCAGATGCCCCTCAACTGAAGAATGGATGCAGAAACTGTGCTACATCTATACAATGGAGTATTACTCAGAAATGAAAAATAAGGAAATCATGAAATTTGCAGGTAAATGGTGGGACCTGGAAAGGATCATCCGGAGTGAGTTGTCCCAGAAGCAAAAAGACACACACAGTATATACTCACTCATATAAACATACAACATAGAATAAACCCACTAAAATCTGTACATCTAAACAAACTAAGCAAAAGAGAGGACCCTAACTAAAATGTTCAATCCCCATCCTGAAAGGCAAAGAGGATGGACATCAGAAGAAGAAGAAAACAGGAAACAACCTAGGAACCTGCCACAGAGGGCCTCTGAACGCCTCTGCAGTGCAGAGTGTCAAAGCAGATGCTGAGCCTGATGGCCAACTGACCAGCAGAGTGACTAGAATTTTATGTAAGAAGTGGGAAATAGTAAGAGCTGGAGAGGACAGGAACTCCACAAGGAGAGCAACAGAACGAGAAAATTTGAACACAGGGAACTTCCCAGAGACTCATACTCCAACCAAGGACTATCCATGGAGATAACCTAGAACCCTGACAATACAGCCATTTCTGATAGATCAGAAAGAAGGAGAGGAGGACCACCCCTATCAGTGGACTTGGGGAGGGGCATGCATGCAAAAAGGGGGGGTGGGACTGGGAGAGGAGGAGGGAGGGGCTTATGGGGGGATACAAAATGAATAAAGTGTAATTAATAAAAAAAAAAGGAAAAAAAAGGTTGCTTCAGCTAATCCATGAGCACAGGAGGATTTTTCATCTTCTAAGTATTTTCTTCAGTTTCCTCAGTGTCTTAAAAACTTTTCACTGTAGAAAATTTTCACTTCTTTGGTTAGGTTTATTCCTAAGTATTTTATTTTTATCGATGCCATTGTGAATGGGATTCTCCCATCACTTCTTGGTATGTTTATTTATTGGTGTATGAAAAAGCTATTTTTAAATTTTTTTATTTTATATTCTGCTACTTTGGTGAAAGTATTTGTCAGGGCCAAGAGTTTTAAGTGGACTCCTTATGGTCTTTTAAGTATATCATCCTCCCCCAATATGAAAGAAATCATATTATCTATAAATGAACATGACCTCTTCATTTGTATTATCCTTTTCCTACTACTATTATTATTATCTTAGCTAAAGTTGATATTATTACTTTATATTTTTTTGTGAAACATTACTGCTTCAGTCTCTCTGATGGTTATAGGTCTAATTTAAATTGTCTAAAATGGCTAGAATTTGAACACCTATTTCATTTTTATGGCTTGGGAAATTTACTACTGTAATCTCATTGACTAAATTCAGTATGTCTTGGGTGTTTATCTCATCTCCTTAATCCACCCGTGGTTTCCTAGGTTTGGTTTGTTCATCATATCCAAGAGTTCTTAGAACATTTTGTACACGCTTATTTGCTTTTCTTTACTGATGGCTGCATGTGGTATCTTATCAATGCCATTCTCCATTTTTGATGGTGCTTCTCCTATTTGGTCAAGCCAATTAATAATATTTTCTGTTTTTTTTCACTTCCAACACTTTTTTTTAAACCTCAAATACGTTTATGCTGCTAAATTTTCATCCATACTGTTGATTTTTTCCCCAACCATTCTGTTAATTTCTTCCTCTGTATTGCTTACTTTCCTAGCATTCCAGGTACTCTTTATTTATATTCTCTCTCATATCCTTGATCATTCTCACCAGAAAACTTATGAAATCATCTTCTGGCATTTCATTCATTTCAATATATTTGAGTTCAATATTTAAGAATTGTGATCTTTTGAAACCATCACATTGCTTTGCCACACCGTCCCAAGCCCAGGTTTCTGGCAGAGTCTGTGTTGTAGGTGTGAGTATCTCTTCTGATTTGTTCTTGCTGAGCAGTCTGTTTTCAATTCCCACCCAAACCCCTCTCTCTTCTGTTTCTCTCTCTCTCTTCTTTCTCTTTATCCCCTCTCTTCTCCTTCTCCCTTACCCCATGAAGCCCAAGTTGGCTTCCAGCTTGGTATGTACACACAGATAGCCTCAAACTCTTGCTCCTCCGGCCCTCATCTCTACCTTCTGAGTCCAGGGAATACAGGCATTTCAACTACCCCAAGTTTTAGATGGTTCTAGGTAGCAAACCTAGGTACTAAATATTCTAGGCAAGTACTCTACCAATTGAGACATGTTCCCAGACCCCTTAGTTTTTGACTGACCACTTAAAAATGCTAATACTGGTTTTAATCCCCTTTGATGGTATTGGGTACTAATATTGGTTTTTATCCCCTTTTATGATATTGGGTACTGAACCCAGGGACTTGCACTTATGAGACAAGCATTCTAGAACGTAACTGAGCTGTATCTCCAGCTCTGAGTAGCCTACTCTTGAAAGCTCAATCCCTAGTTCAACTCCATGATGAGAAAGCAAACTACTTCTGGAAGTATCTACTACTTCTCCTCCCTCTTTGCTCTGTAACTGGGCAGCTGATGCTGTGTTAAACTTCCTTTTCTATTTCAACCCATTTTTCTCCATCGCTCTTCAGCTATCTTTTACTTCCTTCATTTATCCCATTGTTGCACACAAAGATAAGCAGCAATTAACACTGGTTACAGAAAAACAAAAATCCTCCTCAAATGATTTCTAAAGTATCTTACTAAAACACCCTTGATAACCCCAAAAGTATATATAAATGATGTACACCCATATATTTTAAAGATAACATAACACAGTAACATTATGATTAATTGCTCAGAATAATCAAGAGACTTTCCATTAAAACTAAATGAATTCTTCTTGGTAACTCTGGTACTAAAATATTAAAACTTCATGCAGTTTTATAAAAAAAAATATCTTCCATAATTCTTACTCTAGTCTATGTAAAATTTTAAAATATCTTTTTCATATTTATGTGGTTTCAAATCTAATAATAATAGTCATAACTCATGACGTTAGTGTGGCTTTCCAGATCTGACAGTCTCCAAAGGCAAATGTAAAGCCATCACCTTGCAGCTCTGACAATTCGATGCAGCATGCAGAGAAAGAGGAGAAAATATCTTCCAAACAATGAGTTTCACTAAAGCAAATGTAGAGCATGTCAGAAATCAGATAGACAAGCCTATCCTCAGTTCTGACCACTCCTGCATGCTGTGGGACTGGAGAGGGCAGACATGAGACAGTAATTTGTTTTAAATTTCAGATTCTAAGTAGTGGATGCAACTGTAACTGTTTCACTAATCTACATTTTTTTTTAATATTCTGGAACAGTAACTAAAAAGCAGACTCACCTGTCAATTACAATTTCTTTCTGCCTTAGAAGTCCTTCTTTTATTTTCAGCACTGATTCCCATTTACTAAAATCCTGAAAGCCAGAAGGTGAGTAACTCTGACGAGATGATCCAGTCAAAACCTGCACAAAAAGTTTACACGTTTAGTATGCTATCTAAAGAGAACACTTACATATCATCCGGTACTTCCCCAATGGTTTCCATTAAGAAATAAAAACACAAACAAGTATCTCCTTTGCCCTCCTTCACGTCAAAAAAAAAAAAGGATACACAAGCAGTCCCATCATGGTTCTGCTTCCAGCCTCCAGAAGGCTTAGATTCCTGCCTGACCCTCAATGATGGACTGACTTAAGACATCTTCATTGATCTCTTACTATTTAGGACAAAAGGAGAAATCTTTAGTAGCTAGAAGCAGTAAACTATTCAAACCGCTCCTGCCAAACCTCCCCAGGAGGGTCACTTAAAAGAAGGTGAAGGCAGACTAATAAGTGCTGGTGGATAATGGGGGGGGGGGGGCTAATTATTCATAAAGAGAATGATGATAACCATGAGCAATGCCAGTACTTTCAGCTAAATTTGGCAGTATCGGGGATATTCAAAGCAGCTTTGCTAGCACTTTTACCGACTGCTTCAGAAAGTGTAGGATGGAGACACACCTTCAGACTGCATTGTCATCTCTATGGACAAAAAACACGAGATGTCAAAAAGGATGGCTCTCCATTGTGTATTCCTGTGGAGCAGGAACATCTCTTGCAGGGTAATCATGCTTCATAAATCTACCAAAATATATTGCCAAATGCCCCTAGAAAATGCAATGGTGCTAATGGCTAAAGAACTGAGGAACTTTTCACTGAACAGACACTAGGATTTCTTAGAAGGCAGCTGAGCTGGTAGATAACTCCCTGGGCCCAGAGCAACTGGACAGTACTCTGTGCTCCCTGCTCTTTCTAGCATATGATATCTTCTTTTCCTGCTGATTGACAGGAAGCATCTTTACACCATGACCTGGGCCTGCTCATGGACTACCTAATGACAAAGAAAGGGTAGTTGTAAGGACTGGTCTGCTTCCAACCCCTTTCCCTGTTTCCAAGAGGCTCCTCCAGGAGGTCTGTTCCTTTAGGATGTCCCCTGCCATGACTACCAAAAGATCACTATTTTAGAGAAGCTACAAGCACCACTGACAGATCTTTTGTAGTCATCGCCACACAAGTAGACAATTTAATCCATATCCTTGTGGAACTAAAGGATAAATTGTGAAGCCTGAAGAACGAGATGACTGTGGCCCAAATGGCAACTTCACCTCCTCCTTAGACCAGGGACCCAATCTTGCTACAGCACTGATGTCTAGGGCCTGAACACAGTTGTGCTTTTCCCTGACATACAGTGCCATAGAAACTTTCTCATCTCTGGAGTGTTTTAATGACAAACTAGAAAATTTTAGGAGTTATCATTACAGGCATTGGACCTTGAAGATACTCAGTTCTGTGTTAAAATACAATAAAACTGGTTTTTACATTTTAAAAAAACCCACATTTACAAATGCTGTACATTAAAGAATTTCAAGCATGTTCTAAAGTAAGAATGTAAGTCTAATAAAGAATTGACAATAAAAACTTCAAAAGGTCTATTTGTAGCATTACATATATGATCTTACATTCATTATTTTGCGTAAGTAGAAGTTTTCTGAAAATAGGTCAGTTATTACCTCAGGAAGCAGTAATGAAAATGTTACATGGCTCAAACAAACATTACCAGGAGGATTAACATAGAAAAGAGATAAACACAGGACCTGAGTATACAGACTTATGAACTGTCATTATTATATCATTTTATTTCATTAAAATTTCGAGATCACAAATATTTTCCTAAGGTATAAAACATTGCCCACAAGCAACTTTTACGTGGATCATTTAGATGGCTTTTTTGTCTCCACTATAATTACAAAATCTAGCAAAAATATGTTTAGACTTTAAGAAAATTTTCAGATACTTAACATATATCAACAATAATAAAAATCAATATGGCAATGCCATTAAACTAAAAATGGGTCCTTAAGCGTGCAATAAAAGGAGGCCTGAAAGGTGATAGGTAAAAGAATGCATGTGATTTGAAAGCAGAAGGATGAATACTGGGAGTGGAAAGGTTTAAGGGAGAAGGAAGGGGTAAGGAGATAGAGAAGAAGGGGTGGACAAAGGGTTCATCAAAAACTACATGAATATATGAAAAAACGTAATGAAAGCTGATACTTGGTAAACTAACTTGAAAGTAGGCCTCTAGCTGAGGTATTCTCTGTGGATATATTAAGCTGCTAGCAAAACCATAGATTATTAAATAACATTTTAGCGCACAAATGGGCTCCCTCTCCACAAGTTGTTGGTCCAAGAGCTTCAGGTCTTCTAAAATAATGCAGGCAATTGCCACTGTTGCTGTTTGTCCACCAGACAGTAAAGCCTTATGCTGAAGACACCACACACTCTGTTCATTGGACATAGAGAATTGACCTGGAACTGAATTGTAAGCTTCCTTCCTGCTGACTAGCTTTCACAGTGCTAGCCACTGATGGCAAATTGCCATCCACAGTATTCAGTTATGGAACCTGTGTGTTATACTACCAACCAGCAAGGCAAAATGTGGAATAGTGGCAAGTCTGTTGTGGGGAAATCCAACCACTTTTTGATTGAATGTGAGATCTAATCCACAAGAGGGAATTTAAGTCTGGTACTATAAAGCTGGTCAAAGTTTATATATACCTGTTATTGAAACACTCAAGTATTTTCCTTGTGGTTGATGAGTTAGCTCTACCCACTTCCTTTCACTTTCCCTCTCCATTGCTGAGCCCACTATTGAGACCACTGCCACAATGCAACAAGTAAGGAGATGTATTCCAGCATACAAAGGATCCTTGAGGGTTCTATCCTATCTATGAATGGCATCTCTTTTGACAAGCTACTTCCTGCACAAATCAGCCCTCTAAATACTACCTTGAAGACTATATTCAGTAGACGGAACGACAGCTGAAATCCAGGCATGCTCCAGACCCAGAATATAGGCATGTATGTATGCATGTGTATATGTATGTATGTTGTATCATTTGCTAACAGCAGCCAACAGGTTAAAAGTAACATTAAACAAAACAAATATCCACCCTAAATGTTGGGAGAAGATATAGGTTGATAAAATTTATGAGAAGTTTTGAGTGCTATTTTAGGTTAATTTCTTTACTTGCAAAATTATGTTAAAAATTTCTATCAAGAATCTTTAATTCCTTTCCTGTACCATGTTTTCTGTACTGTTCAATAAACATAGAGCAAAGCCCTTTATTAGGGTTAGGCACAAAACAGAGACAGACAGACAACAGACACAGAATAGACAATAACATAGGCAACAGAGCCAGATGAATCCAATGAACACAAAGACTATCCATATGTTACTCAACACAAACTTTGGACAAATGGAGGACATGAAGAGGGAGATAACGAAACTTGGGTTCACTCAAACTAATGCAAGAGGAAGTATGTGGTTTTATTTCTTAATGTGCTAGGGGCACATTTGGTGTACCCTCTGAGGTTTTTCTAATGCATTTACTGATATGCTATATAACAACAAGTCTAAAATTTTAGATAAAATGAGTAATTTTCTTTAAAAAAAACATCAATTTCTAAATAATTTTTGAGTAAGTTTGATATTAATGGAATAGAGATGACTAAAAAAATGAAAACTATTCATCAAACAAAGCCATAATTTTATGGGTAGTTTCTATCTGAATGTAATGAAAGACAAACAAAATTTTTGAGTAAGGTAATGTGGTTTGAATGGGATCATGTTTGAATTCTTGGTCTTCAATTGGTAGAACTGTTTGGTAAGGGTTAGGAGGTGTGGTCTTGTTGGAGAAGATGTATAATCATAAGGCCTTGTAACTGTGTCAGCTAGCCTGAGAAAGGGGCAGAACTTCTGTCACCAAAGTGATGCTTATGAAAAGGATTTTTTTTAACAAGCAAACATTATTATAAACATATTCTACAATCAGCAAATTTAGGAAAGAAAAAACTTTCATCATTTAGATGTTTTACCTAAAATGCATAAAATAAATTATTGTTAGTTAGAGGAGAAAACACTAGTTCAAGAAACCAAAGAAAAATCAAAACTACTCTGTATATAGGTTCTTACTAGATGCAAATATAACCCATTTGAGTATGTAGACTTATAGACGCAGGAGGGAGACACACACATACACACACACTCCTTTCCCCTTGCCCCGTCATTGGAAATGGCAAATTCCCCTCTCCTAATTGAATAAAGATAGCTCATATCTACAACAATACCAAACATGCTACTGAGATGAAATCCAGATGCTATGAAAAGTTGCCAAATATGCCACTTAATGGCCAACAATGTTTCTAACAAAAGTGTACTCTAGTGCATCTGAAAATAGCTCAGCACTCTCTGGCTGGACAAACAGTGTTGATCTTAGATACGGCAGCGCTAGACACCAGCTAGAGCACCACCTCTGCAGTTCTTCAGGGTTGTTATCTTTCTCCTTCATATGCCTTTGTCCCTGAGCTCATGTATCACTCACAACATGTCAAATAACACAGCAAATCTTCCTGTTTCCTAGAATAGTCTCTCTGAAGTAGTACTTACTAGTGCAGTTTGGTAAAAGAATGATATCTCCGCCAAAAGGAACTCACAAAGTTCAATAAGTGAAATGAAAATAAACTAGGAACATTACAAAATTTTAAAAAGAACTACAAATTTAGTTGAAATTCAGCTACGCCTATTATCTATGCAGTACACTGCCACATCTTTCAACGAAACAATGGCAAAATATTTTTGGTAGTGTCATTAGTCATTTCTTCCAATCAGAGTGACCCCAAGTCCTCAAATATGTGCATTCTATAAGGAACTATTTGTCCTGTGGAACTGCTACTCTTTTAAGGATTTCTTCTTTGAAAGGTAGGAGATAATTTGTCTGGCGGGTTTTGGAACATACTATATACAGCCCAGGATGACCTTGAGTTCCTGATCTTCATGTTCTTACCTCCCCAGTGCCAGAATTTCTGGTGGATATAGGCACAGTTGGCTCAGAAGCTGTTATTTCTTCAATTTGCTTTTACTAACTCTA